TTTTTAGACACGTTATGTGTGAGCTTAACTAACGTAATGAGTTTTCTAGTGGTATCAAAATATTTGAGTTGCAAAGCCATAGGCTCCATAGGAAACAGTTTTATTAAAAACTTAATTTTTTCATCTACAACGCTCAATGAAGTTTTTCTTATAATCTCTAATAGAAACTGTGCTTTTCTAGAAGACCCACTAAACTCTAATTGAACATAAAATATGGAGTTTCATTAACTTTTGATTGCTGAAAAACATCGTATTTTTCGAAATCATTTATTAGTTATGAACATTTTTCACTAGCAAAGATCGTTAGAAACATATTGATTTCAAACTCAACTGATAACTTGAAAAAGTTTATTTTAACCTGTTTATAATGTCCTGTCGTACCGCTACAATATCTGATAAAAGACGAAAAATAAGACCAATTTTCTTCTAAATTCCAGGTGTATACAGAAAAATTTTTCAGTCTTCGTTAAGTATTTTGAACGAAATAACTTTACACAGCTTTGTAGTAGAGACTTTTCTCTGAACTATCAAGTCTCCACAACGAGTTATTATTAAGCTATATTCAAAAAAAAAATTAATTTGCATCATCTGTTATTATGTTTGTATTCTCGTTGAATTCATAAACAATTTTTAAGGTGCGTCTCAATCAATACCTCCACTACGACCATTATCATCTTCTCGACTTGCTATGCCAAATCGATTAGAAGAAACTCCTTCTTGTGTCACTTATCCATTAACACCTAGTACAGGTATATCTCATTTAAATGAAAAAGTACCACCTCGTATTCCACCAAGAATTCAACGTACAACAAAACCTTTATTAAATGTCGAACAAGAAGTACCTACTATATCAACAGAAACAAAATCAAATTTAGTTATTCAAAATCGACGACCACCACCACCATTGCCACCATCGCCATTGCCAACAATTTATAATATGGAATCAAATAAATCAAATAAAACACGTTTATCTCGAAAATGTTCAAGATCAAATTCAATTATTGATGTAGAACAACGAGCTTCTTCTGCTCTTGGTTCCCGTATCTTACCAACAACAGTATCAACTACAAAACGTGTTACATTAAAAGAAGAAAATTTACTTAAACGTTCATCATCGGCTGATCGTGTTGGACGTGAACGTTGGTTACATCATATAACCGATCCATTAACAATTAATAATGGTTTGTTTGATTCTTCATTTTTTTTTTTTTGATAGTCCTCGACAAAAAGTTTCTCATCCACAACGGGAGTGCACAGGCACCTCTGGTACAACCCTGAAACACTCGTGCTAATGCTGTACAGTTGTTATAGATGGGGGAAGACTTTCTGTGGAATATTGTTCAAGGTCGTTACAGTGAATACATTTTTTTTACGAATCGATAGAGTAAAAGGTGAAGTTTCAGATTATATATAGTTTTCTCAGGAGTGCTTTCTCCTTATTTTGGTTTTTTTGTTCACAGTAAAAAAAAAGCTTCGAATCATGACTAGCGACGCTTTTCGACGAAGTTCTCTCTTTGTCTTCTGACTGATACTAACAAGAAGAACAAAAACTTTTATGTCATTAAATAATGCATATGCCAGCGTATGTGTTGCCCAATTTAAGCCATTACAAAGTATACTTTCAATTTTTCAAATAATGTCAATCTGGAAACTCATAGTGCGTCGGATCTCAGCTACCATAATGGTCAGCACATAAATTTTCAGACACCTATTTCTTATGGCAACTGAGATCTAAGGAGAGAAAGACATATGTCAAAGAATGTAAATCATTTCACCGTTTTTTTTTTAAATTTCTCAGCAATTAAACTACGTGCATCATTACCGAATCCATTACAACTTGTTACAAATCATTTTAATGCTATGTCAAAATTATTAAGTGCAACAAAATATGCTATTGAACATCGAGCTGAAGATGGTGTTCAATTATTTCAAGTAAATTTCAATTTTATTTTTGTACTTGAAAATATGTTTATTTTATTTATTTATTTTTTAGGGTGATGTTATGGCGACAAGTAAAGGTGGTGTCAAAGTTGTTTTTACTTCAGTTGATCAAGTAACACACAATAGTTTACTTCCAACAACATGTTGTGAAAATTCTGTTGTAGGTTAGTTAAACTTTGTCAAAATATATTCATATTAATTTTGATTCTTTGTTTTTTTTTTTTGTTGTAGGAAGATGTTAGTCGTCTATAACATATACATACGACTATATTTAGTATTTGTTTTCTTTTTGTTTTTTTCTTTGCTGTACTTTTACTTAATAATTATCTTTTATTCGAGATATTAAGAAAGAGATATTTGATAAAAAGAACAATTTTCTTTCTTTGTGTGATTTCAGACATTATATGATATTGTTTATATTTTATTTCGCGTTCTTTTTCTTTTCTTTTTTTCATTCTTGAATAAACCTATGATGAACTTCGATAAATCTGACAAACAACAATATGCTAAAAAAAAATAACCTTCAGAAGAAAAAAAAATATGTATATCTACCAAACTTGCTCATTACAACTAGTCGTCATACTTGATTGCTTTTACATTTTTTTTATTTCTGTCATCATAATGATGAAATAGTATCGTCTTCTTTTCTCACGCTTTTAAATATAGATGATGTACTATGACACTGACTTTGATAAAATGAATGAATAATAGAAAGCAACACAAAAAAAGAAAACGACTTTATTCAGATAAACAAGAAACATTAATATGTACTTACAAAAAGAAAAAAACAAAAGTTTTCAAGAAAAAGAATTGTGTAATGACATTGAAAAAAGATGATGGTCTTAATTTTTGTCGTCATTGTGCTATACAAAAAAAAAAGAAATGTTTTCATTTTTCTGAACAGATTCGTTCGTTCATTGTGTAGGTCAAAGGGAGAAAAAGCGAAAGCTATGCCCTTGGCGTTTGTAGTTCAATGATAAACGTATATACATAAAAATAAGAAAAATATTATATAAGAAATCATATATTGTCAAGCTAGTTTCGTTGCATACGATAAACAATGAAGAAAATAAAAGAACAAAGCCGATGTGTACTCGTTCTGCTTCATTACTAATACCTTCTATTGTCTAGTATGTATCGAGAAATTTTTCGAGAAAAACGATATTAATGATTGATTGGTTCACACATGCGAAAATTTTATTACGTACTGTCATAAGCTGTTAGAGCTACTGTATACAAAAATAAACTCAATGCAGTAAGAGCTGATAAATAAAGTAGACAACCGAAAGTACCACCAAGTGCTCCAAGAGCACTACCTAAAGTACTAGCACCGGCATCAACAGATCCGAATGTACTCTTTCCTCCATAGTAAGGATGTGTAGTAAAGCAGTTCTATAGTTTTTCGAAAACAAAAAATGTGTTGCCAATATCTATTTACTTGAAGTTATTTACCGAACTCCATATGATCGAGGAGGAGAAAGAGATCTAAATGTATAAAGGTTTGAAAAACAACAAACTGTACTGATAAGAATAAATAATGAATCTTTTATTTCTTCGTGGTATATGACTAAGAACTATCTACACGTGTTTATTCATAAATTTTTCTTCATTAGCCAGCTTCTTCCTCTTTCTCTCTCTATTTTTCTTCTCTCGTTTTCTCTTCAATCACCTGTACGGTGAGTTTTTGCCAAGAGAAACGATGATAACTTGTTTGTCGTGTGCTAAATTGTAATACCACAAAATAACAAGCTACTTGTTTTCTCTTTACTCTCACATTTTCTGACCAATTGCCTCCTCGTATTAGTCAACAATTTGCGTTCTGTTATCATATTGCTCTATTCGGAATTGTGATATTTTGTTTTTTTCTCTTTCCCTCTTGGCTACTCCTTTTTTTTTTACAAAGTAAAGAAAAAAATTACTCTACACAAGAATGTTATTGACATGTACGAGTTTCATTAACGGTATGATCAAACTACCCAGTATTTTTCGATAAACATATATTGCACTGCCTCATTACTCTTCTCTTTCCGTCTGGTCGAGCTATGCATGACTTCACAGGTGTCATTACTGGTTTGCTCCTGAACTATACACATAATTTGCCATGATGTATACGTTAGCAGTAAAAGAGAGATAATACTTTGTCCTTTACTTTTTTTATGAGTTTCATTCATTAGATAAACTAAAATCAAAAAAGAAATACATTTAATGTAAGTGTCTATCATTCGACAGTCAATGGAATTTTGAACATACGCTATGCGCAGTAGTAAGATGTTTTCTTCAAATGACATGTCCGATGAAAAGAAGAAAATCTCTTCGTAGGAAACAGATAATAAGAAAAAAAAAAGACGAATAAGAATAAATGGAACTATCGACCATATATATTTTCCTCTCATCAGTCGTAGACATCAATGTATGATCACCAAAAAATCATTAATTTCAATGTGTATAGTCAGTCAGGAGTGTTTCGCTTGATTGATCATATGCCGTCTTTTTTATTTCATTGTACATCTTTCTTTCTCTTCGTTTTTTTCCTCACATAATATCTATACATGAAGAGGTACGAGAAACATTGGCGATATCCTTTCTTTTTTCACAAATTGTAATGATAAACGATGTATTGCGCATACTCTTTCTATGTACAACCTTCAGGTGCAAACCTCATCCTTTTTTGTGAATGCATAGAGAACGTTGTAATTTTTTTTGTATTGGTTAGCCAACTGATTTTCTTTATTGGTCGAAAACCCTTCGGGTTTTTTCTCTTTCTTCCCTCCTGTTATTATGATCATCATTGTGTATACATGTTTGTACTGTCCAGAAATGTGTTTTTCAATTGATCTATCTTTCATTTCTTTTACTTTCTGTTTCCCACATTTATAGAAGTTTTCTTGAACAGTTAGAAAAGTTTTAGTTGAAAATATAACATTAAAATACTTTGTTTAATGTAGATACATATAGAGACAAATGAAGAATGGCCTTGAGAATACATTTTTATAATTTTTTTTTCTGAAAAAGATCATTACCATATTATTGTTTCTCTCTTTTCTTAGTGAACTCTTAAAATGCCTCGAGTTCGAGTGCCAGTTCCAGGATATCGTGTACGGCCTGGTGTAGGATATCCAGTGCGGTAAGTATCCTTGTAATTATCTCGATCAACAATTTATTCTACATACAATCATTTATTTATATACAGACCACCAGCAAGTAAAGGAGGTCTTCTGGGTTTACTCGGAGGCTTAGGTGGTCTACTTATATGTTTACTATGCTTAGCGACGATGGGTTTACTTGGTCTTTTTGCAGCATTTATTGCAGTGACCACTTATCTCGGTAAGATTTGAATAAGATTTCTCATAATTTTTATTTTTCCAATTATTTTTAGGATGGGTTTATAGTGCATTGAGAGCTGGTGGTAATAATGCACCTGGTTTTGACGTAAATATGATCATCTTATTGGCTGCTTTATGCTTTGCCGGTTTTTATAAGTTACAACGATCATTATAAACAATATTCTATTTCTATTTTTTATTGTTTATTACGGAGTCGTTGATTCATCGTCGCTGTTATTTGTCTTTTTGATTATTTTAATTTAATCAAACTCGACGGGCATTTTCTTTTCTTTCACATAAACTTTTTTCTTTAAAACACCAAGATTTTTCGTCGTTTTATTTAATTTCTTTTTTCTAACTTTTTATTACACGCGTACACAGCGATTTTTTTATTTAATGAACAAAATATTTTCAAATAAGTGCCGATTCAAAGACAAACAATAGGTTCGTAACAATATGAAACAATTATTCTAATGAAACCATTATCATCATCATCATCAACAACAACAACAACATGTTCTTCAAATAATTCTATTTTTAATAACAATGATATCACTTTGTATTCGCTAAACATAAACGACAATTGAAATAACCGATGATCTTTTTTTCGTGTAGCACGGATGTATTTTTTTCTTTTGATCGAGCACTTTATTTCCTTTTTATTTTCTTTGTGTGTGAGAAATAAAATACAGATAAAAAGAAATCTTATGACATATTTTTCTTCTGTGAAATTCATCATGTAAATTAATCAACAAGAATTAGTTAGTTTTCTAATGATTTATTTTATTTAAATGGAGTCGAAGTTTTCCTATGTTACCGTCATCACTGAGAAGAAACATTTAGATCTCTCAGGTTAATGTGATTCTTTATCGTGATCCAAAATATCTTGCAAAAAAATTCCTTAAAGATTCACATTCAAAGATAATTATTTATTGTTGGTTTCTTTTTCTTTTAGGAAAAACTCGAAAAAAAAAAACTCTTTCTAGAAAGAGAAAGACAACCATGCTGAGAGTTTTCATAAATATATCGCTGTTTTCAAGGAATAGAAAATTCTCCAAATATTCAAATTTCGTCACTTTTCCGAAGATACTGATTTTGTTAATATCGTTGGTAAACCGCAGTTAACTAATGGTTCTGTAGGCTAGTTAAGTTCTACAATTAAATGAACAGATAATTTGAATATTTGCTAAAGATTATATTTGTTTGTCTCAGTACAGAAGTTATAAAAATCACCAATTTATGTCGAAAATAGAAAAATAATTGTTTTGATTACATAGGTCAATACGTTAGAAATCTCTCATTAGTCAAAAGGCTTTTCTCATAATTTCGATTGACTGATATTGTGTTGTTTTTTTCGTTCTTTATCCTA